ACGCAAGGAAATGAACATGGCAATAGAATGCTCTAATAATTGTTTCCCGTCCATCGCACCAAGTACTGTTAAGGATGGTCCTGTTAAAATGCACTGATTGATTAACAGTTATATACACTTATATGCTACAAAATAACTTGTCTACAAGTTATACTAAGCAAGCAGTAGTGTTAAGAAATACTGGGCTGGAAGCAATCCTTCAGGCATAACAAGATATCTGACAGCACTGAAAGCAATACACGCTTACTGTGTATGCGTGTGTGTGTTTGTGTGTGCGTGTGACTGTCTTATGCTGGGATAGTTGTGGGTTAGACAAGGCTACAACAATTCCTCCCTGTGGTGCTAAACGAAATGAACTTGTTTGAACTGATGCATGCTGAAGGACCAGCTGGAAGGGGCACTAGAGTTTAAACTCAATAACATAAATCACATATAGATCATTTTGTTGTCTATAATACTACATTTCACATTTTTACATATATAGTTTAAACTATGTATTTTGTTAACAGCTCTTTCAACCTTTCAATATGAATCCTGGATCATGCTCAATCAACAAATCTCCAAATGCTACAGAGACAACAAAATCACTTAGCTAAAACCAACACAGTATTTACTTTTATATTCACCTACAATCAAATTTGAAGACCTCGGAATCTAATCATGTGTAGTATGTTGTATACATCTTGTTCAATAAAACATCAGTATTCATTTTGGAGCTGAATAAATCCAAATCCTCAGTGACAAGTTTGTGGTTTTTGAATGGATAGGTCTACAGAAAATCCTCTGTCAGTGAAAGCATGGTTTGGAATAGTATTCATTAGACATTAGACAGGACAATTTTTATGTTAAATGGCACCGAAATAAATGCCTATGTTTACAAAATTAAGTTTATATTTGTCTTTTAATTTGAAAATAAAATCCAATAATGATCTATCAATGTGAGGAAAAGATTTTATACATTTTTTTTCTTGATTCTTGCCATATTGATCCAAATGTATTTTTTCTTTAGACTTTCTGTGCACTATAGTGAGATTCTGAGAAGTTTTTCAAAGACTAAATTAGTCATATCAGATTAAAATTGTTCATTTATGTAATATCTCCACCCTATGGGCATTTTATTTTCTTATTTCTGATTCAACTCGTTTACGGACAAAGGATTTCAGGTCAGCTGTTTTCTTCCTGCTTGAGAAGTGCTGTTTATGTAAGGCCGTACGGCGGCATGCTAATTACAGAGTGCCTAGGCCCGGGATTATGATGACAGCCCTGGGAAGTAGATGTAGCATGTAAGGAAGCATTGCACTTCAGCTGTTTTTTGTTTTTTTTTAATGGGAAACAGCTGTTTCTTCACACTACATCCAATCAACAAATTATTGATCTCCCTCCAAATATCAAGTTAAAGGTGCACTATGTAACTTTTCTAGTGGTTGGTCTGTCAGTTAGTTGTATTCATGGAAAATTTATTGCTTTGTTCCAAAGTCTGGCATTAAACTTCCATGAAGTCCAGCAGGTGAAGCCATCAGACCATGATATAGATCAGATCTATGGAGAGGCCAGCACACTCACTTATCACTTGAAAATTAAATTTGATTATATTAAATATTATTATTGTTATTATTAAATTGAGTCAGTGACATAATAGAACAGCATCTGGGGAAGGCTGTTGGAAAAAACTGTGATGACCAGGGTCCAAAACAAACTAGATGACCACCAGAGAGAGGTGATAAGAACTCCAAATGAGCAGTCATACCAAGCTACTTTCCAGTGAACATTACAAAATCCATTGCACAACAGCAGTAGTGTGAGAGGGGCCACACTAAGTTATGTGACCACGCACTTTGCTCTTAGCCTCACCTGAGTCGACCTGCCACATAAATTTTTTGACTGCTGACTGTTACTAAGTTTCTGGAATATTGGAAAAAAATAGAAAATAAGACTCTCTGCCACCTGCAAGATAGAACCACCAAGGTCAACATCATCAAGCCTTCAATTTACTTCTCATATATTCCAGGGAATATAAAATAAAGCATAATGCACTAACAGTACATAAAAGAGAAGACACAAGTTGACACATATAATGCTAAGCATTATATGTCAAGCGGCATAAGACTAGAATATAATAATATAATATAATATATAAATAATAAAATAAAAAATAAATTAAACATTGAAAGAAAGACATCAATGCTCAATAAAGTTTACATAAAAGTACATGCAAAGAAAAAAAGAACAGAGAAAAAAGTAAAACTGGAAAAACCTGGCCTTCAACCCCAACCATCCTAAGCTCTCACGCTAACCAGGAGACAGAGTCACAGTCGCACGCTACTGTCAGTGTGACACCTGAGGTACTCTAGGCTCTCACGCAAGACATGGGCTCCACCACACATTTATATACATGCATGTTTGTGGTGGGGAGCCACAAACCTCACAATGACCTTACAAAACACCCAGCTGCTTTCCCAAGACAAATCTAACAATTACCACCTCCAGAACAGGTATAACTCTACAAATGCCTGTAAATGTGCTGACTTGCATAGCTGACCTGCATTGTGTCATCCACTTACATGCATTTAAAAACATTTTCATGCAAAACTTACAGAATTATAATTGACGCAACATGATATTGGCAAAGAGTTTGTCATAATTTATAAGGAAGTGTTCTGTCATGTTATGAATGAAAATTCTGAATGAATTTGGCCAGACTCCAAATCAAACAGGCTAATGAATAACAAGTACTGAAGTTCAAAAACAACAATGGGAACTTCACTGATTTTTATTCAGAGAAATGGTGATTGAAAAAGCACAAAATAGCAGTGACAATGACACAAGTCACACACTACAGCGGTACAAGCACTAATGTATTGTGAGTTTATGAATATTGCTGACTCATAATACATTTAACTATATTCCAACTTCAAAAGATCAATGGCAGAAAGTCACTTTTTGAATCTGTGATCTTGTATAAGCAATGTCCCACCCAACATTGCCTTGTTTGTAGCCGGGGGCTTCTCTGGAGCATGGCATTGCGTGTGAAAGCACCAGCCCTGCCCAAGCCACTCAGCACTCTGGCCCCATGTAATTTGGGCATGGGTTCCCTGACCACCAGTCTGCAAGCACAAGATTAAAATAAAATCTCAAAAGATAAACATTGCTTCCACAATTGATATCGCTTTGGCCTTCCGAGCACACTGGGACAACAGGGCTTCCTGTGGAGAGGGGGTGGTTTCCTGTGCGGAGCAGGGTCGAGGGACGGCCAGCAGACAGGAGAGAGAGAACAAGAGGGCACCGAGGCACGAACCCTCTCCCTCAGAGTGGGAGGGGGGCATGTTTATTGATTTTAGTCACACACATATTGTAAAGAGGAACTTTTGTACAAGCATTTAGCACGCTATGGGAATGTTAGTGGAGCAAATGAGTGATTGGCTCATTCAAAACAGTTCAATGACAGAAGTGACATGCAAGAGTTGTGCAGTCAAAAGACTACACATGTGTATTTGTGTGTTACTTTTATATATCTTGTATCTTGTATATCAAGACTGTTAATATATTTCCTTATATTTAGTTTAAATACATAAATAAATGTACTTAAAATCCAAATCTACTCAACCCTCCAGTGCAACAAAGGGTTTATATTAGATTTTTCCATACTCTGCATTGTCTTAGCAGGAAACACAATAAAGACTGTTTTTAATACTTAGTTGCAAAAGATTTCAGTGGCCATTAGTTTCCATGACCTGTGACACGGCCATTGTTAAAATCTGACTGTGAAAGTGAACTGATTTTAACTGCTTGAGGCTGAGGCCACATAGCAGCCCATACAGACTTCCTGCTAAGTGGATGTTGACTAGTGACAATGCTTTTTTTGACTTATCTAATCAGGAAGGTTGTTAAACACATTCTATTTTTTCCAACTAGGATAGAGGAATGTGCTTGCAGTTTCATTCCATGCTCAAAATAGGCAGATCTCAGAGTGTCTTTATTATGGAATTAATAATCTTGTGAGATGTGCAAACAATGCACAAACAATCAACAAGTTTATAACACTAGAGTAACCTACTATGGTATACATACAAATGCATGTAATAAAATCACATTTTATAGAACAGGTGGACAAACTTACAAGCAGGCTGGCAGCTTTTAGTTTAAAAGTCTGTTGTTTATGATGGGTGACGGTGCATTTAGGTTCACTGTCATGACAGATTTATGAAAGCTAAAGGGGAGTTGGGTAATATATCTAACCACTGTGTCACATTTCCCTCTCTAGTGGCTGAACCATATTTTGACATCGTCACGAGACACTCATGCCTGAGCAAAGAGATTTTAGGTACTTTCAGTGCAATATTTTATTTATAAATACAAATTATTGTTGCCTGTCCCTTAGGTTATGTACCCACTGCGCCAGTAGCTTAACTATTATTATGATTTTACAACTCGTTTTCATTTTCAGCTTATGTAACTATTAACTGATACTGCACCAAGGGAGTGTATTATGTTTTCTAATGGTGCTATGTGTCCTCCTGTAAGAATGTGATGCTGACAACTGGGCATCGGGCTACGCATACAAGAAAATTATGGAGGTAAAGTAAAGATTTGTAGTTGGCTATGGGTAAAGAAACACAAATCTGACATCATTCTCTTTTAACTTGTAATATTATACCATGCTTAGCATTTTCCTTTTCTTATTTTTACAATTTAAAATGAAAGCTAAAATGTAACTTCCTACCCGGCAACCACGGTGCGCTTAGGACTTTAATTTGTGCAAACGTCACTTCCCTTTTCACCCACGTGGTTTTGTTTTGATTTTATTTGACAGTGGGGCAAGCGCTGACTCAGGCAAATTAAGTAAACACGTGTTTTTCAGTATCCAGCGGTAACTGTATATAGACTTTGCTTGAATAAGATACCCAGGTAAGCATGTTGTTTATGAAATTTGAAGTTAGTAAGTTACTACGATTGACATCCCGTGTTGTTACAATCAGTAATTTTAATGTTGCTCATTAACATAAATTTATAAATTTATTTCTTTTTAATAAAGATACAAAATAATTGCATTACATTTCTTTCTGTATTTTTATACACACATCTTGTACAATATAGGCTATAGCTCAAAAATATACAAAGATTTAAAGAAATAATTACTTTAAAAAAACAACTAAACCATGACACAATCACATTTTGGGATACAAATATAGCTTCAGTGTATATTTATCTTGTGTATACATTGTATATATAAACTGAAATTACTTCTTCCTTTCCTTGACCAATATAAGTAGCTCAACAAGCTGTGTCTGTGCAGTAACAAACAAATTACAAAATTGCTGATGTAGTTTTTCAGCTGAAGAGTAAACAGAGACCTCGGTTAGAGAAGTAATGATCATACAGACATGTGTTGAGTTCTAGCATCCACATGCTGCCTAGATACACAACCTAAGTTTACACAAACCAAACTTACAAATCTAAAACCTACATTGCATGTGGTACCTGGTGTCTGACATTCTAACAAAGTTTATTCTGTTACCTCTGTCTGAATCTGGCTGTTGCCCAACTGCTGTTAGGTACATACATGCACATGTAAAATGCATTGAAAAAGAGAGGTGTTACTCTTCTGCTCGTAATGCAGCTCGAAGGTGGCAGCGCTTATGTTTCATTGTCAGCCCATATTCTGGGGTCATGTCCAGTATCTGATCAGGATCCACCTTATGGAAACGAAACCTCTGGATGAGGATTGCCAGGAAGAGGAAAACTTCATTTCTGGCTATGACCTCTCCAATGCAACGCCTTCTGCCCAGACCAAAAGCCACCACTTTCTCCCCCTCCACCTTGTTGACTTCTGTGCCTTCACTGTTCAGGAAACGCTCTGGGTTAAATGTAGAGGGATCTTTCCACAGATCACTGAAAAAATACAGAATTGTTATATAACACTTACATTCTATCTTTCCACCCAAAATCATTGCTCATCAGGTCAATAAGTGTGCAAATCTAAATTATTAGACTTACGCATCATGGTTAATCTGCCACTGGTTGATAAAGACACATGTGTCTTTGGGAATGAAGTATCCATTAAGAGATGTGTTCTTAGTGGTGCTGAAAAATATAAAAATATTTTATTGGGCTAGTTAACAAACTTATATTTTTTGTCATCATAAGCTGAAAACAGTCTTACCAGTGTGGGATTGTGAAGGGAAGGAACGATGAGTGGCGCAACACCTCCAGAATGAAAGCTTCAACATAGGGTAGGTTGGCTTTATCTGACAAGCGTGGAAATCTGTCCTGTCCCACTGCATCCTCTGAAAATAGTGGATTCAAAATGTCATAATACAATTATGGCATTTTGTCTATACTAAGTAGATGCAACATTTACACTAGAGGTAATTTTATACATTTCATCTATATTACACAGGTTTCAATTAAGCAGTTTATTAATTCATTATAAAATATGACCCACTGGTACTTACGTATTTCTCTATGAAGTTTGTCTTGTACTTCTGGATAAGCAACCATGTACATCACAGACCAGGACACACAAGTGGAGACTGTATCAAAACCTGCATGTAGAACATTCAGAAATATTTAGCCATATGCTTCATACACTTAAAGGATGTTAGCAGACACTTACCAGCTCCAAAGAGATCATTGACAATGGAGACTATCTTGTCATCAGACATCTGAATGTTTGAGTTCTCATCTAACTTCCGGTCCTCACAGTGGTCAATGAGGGAGTCTGTGATGTCTCGAATGTTGTCCTTAAGGAATCAATTATTATAGAAACATTACAACATGAAATGATTATATTTATCTATGCACAGTGATTCTAAGAAATGTGCTTTACATATCTTATCTTCTATGTGTTAAAAATGAGATTACCTTATCATAGGTAGCATAGTGTTCGTTGACAATTTTTTGAATAAAATTTACAAATCTGTCATTGATGCTCACAAACTTCTTCATTGTTGCACTTGGGATATACTGAAGGATAGGGATGAAGTCTGCAGGATTACCACTGCCAACAACTTGGCCAAATTCATCACTGAGATTCACCAAACTGAGCAGTTCCTGGTCATCATGGTCATAGCGCCGGCCAAAGCACATTCCACAGATAACGTTGGCTACAGAGACCACAATGTGGCGAAAAGGATCAAAACTTCCATCTGTCTTCATGACAGAGTGGATTTTCTTGATTAGGTAGTGTGCCTCTTTGCAGATATGCTCCTCCAACATGCATGAGTACTCTGGAGTTGTGCCCTCCAGGGTGGAGAAGGAGCGCAGGGCACTGTAGGCCAGCTTTCTGCGAGCTCGCCACACACCAGCTTGGTCCGTGCTAAAGGCCAAACTCTTCCCTTCACTGATGAAACGGAAACTATATAGATCAGGTCTTCCAGCAAAATCATCCCCTTGTTTGATAAGTGCCTGACGAACAGTCTCGCTGCCACTCAACACAACAACAGGGCGCATGCCAATCTGGATCTGAAAGACATCTCCAAAGCGCTTACTCATTTCAGTGAGGCTAAGGTAAGGTTTGCTGCCCAGTTCTATCACGTTACCAATTATTGGTAGTGGTTTGGGACCAGGCAAACGCTGGAGCCCCTCAGGAATGTCATTTTGAAGATACTGTAGGATCAGAAAGACCAAGCAGACAGTTGCTATGGCCAGAAGACCCTCTGAGATGGACACAGCTCCAATGAATGGCAGTATCATTAGTGACATGATGACAGCTCACTACTCGTCAACCTGAGAATTAAAGAGGAGGAGCATGAGAGTAAGTAAGACAGAGAACTGAATGTTGTGCAACTTGTTGACTATATGTTATAAACGTTTGAGCCCTGGAAGTTACTTCTTATTAATTATAATACTTTATTACTACATGACCACAAATACACCTGTGCTAATGACAAATTTAAAAGGCACCATTGAACAAAAAAACTGCAACTATACTCTATACTATTGCACAGTGCATAGCAATATTTTCACAAACTCTGAAGAAACATAAAACCAAATTGTCATTACATGCAACTTTGCATTAATGCTGACTTTGGCTATCTGAAACACAGTTCATGAGTAAAAAATACCAAAGACATGCATGCTGAATAACAATTTAATCTTACCTTAGAATGGGTGAATGTGAATCTTCAAATAGTTCTTTCAAAACAATATTAAGTAGGAGGGCTATAGATGGACTTTACTCACTTCATGTCCCTGAAACAAACAATGGACTCTGGCTTTATAGAGCGCTTCACAGCTCCATTGGCTGCTGTTGATGACGTAACCCTGTACTCCGTCTCCCGCTCCCTCTCTCTCATGAATGAAGTTTGGTGTGGAGACCGGAGGGCGTGTGTGTGCCTCTGTGTGTGATGTTGCGTGCAGGTCGGAGATTTGTGATTGTAGATTTCACGCCAAGGAGTAGGCTAAAGGTATTCAGTTGCCGTTGTTTTGGTGATTCAGAACCACTATGGAGTCTTATGTTATGTAGACTTGAGTATAAAGAGACATTAAAAGACTTGATGATCAACTTTAATCAATGTGCAACATTTTAAAAATACAGTGCACGTACCCGTATTCACGATTGCGCTTGCTTGGCTACATTATGCAGAAACTGCTTTGTCGAAACACAGTGTTGGAAGGTGTATCAGTTAATGAAAAGGAATATTAGCGGCAATAATTGCGACAATAGCGGAGTTGTGACGGTAGTGGCGTACTTTGGTGCCCACATACTCTAGGGATCTGCTGACTTCAAGGCCTGGCAGATGTATCAGTCTTTCAATAAAAGTGAGTTAAGCACTTGTGACAAGTGGCCCCGCGTTCTGATTAAGAAAAAAAAAAATGCCATTGCGTGCGTGTATCTGCAGGTTCCGCGCCGCAGTTAAACATTGACCAGTTGCGTGAGAGCGAAATGATCAGACTCTCACCTCCCCTTTGAAGAGGACGGTGGAGAGAAGGGGGAGGCTAGAGGCGGGGGTAAACGTGCAGGGCTGGGGGCAGATGAGGCATATATTACCACTTTCTGTCCTCTTTCGTCTCTGTCTGTCTCTCGTTCCGAGCTACATGTGTATCTCACTTGATAACCTACATCTCGCAGATTCAAATTTTGAGCATAGTCAAGGGTAGAAATAAATAGCCTACCAATAAACAAGTTCATGGTAGCAGCCTGTTAGGCCTAATTATATGCTAACATTTATTTGTAATGCAGTTGTAAAGTAGTCAATCGTCTACAGGCCATTCTATAAAATAAACACCACTCTATACACGGTAATAATAGATAATAGATAAGGCAAATGCACTACATAGTTTTGCAAATTATAGGCTGCTCATTGGGTCTACTGCCATCATCATGGACAATGGCAGAACTGTATTTTGTAAACTGGTTATTTGCCATAGAGTTTTCCAGAAATTTCAGAGAAGTAACCTAAAGTTTCAAATCCGTCTAAAACACATTTTGAGACCGCATCATCAGAACAAAACGCGGAATCCAAAGTGGATCTGCTGGGTATTGTGCTGGCACGGCTGACTGCAGTCTACATCCCTGCTGTCTTTAGCCTACATGTTTCGGTGAAAATGCGTCCTATGCCACCGCGGTGCGCTCCCCGGGGTTATGCCGTGTGCTGCTCTGCTACAGGTTGCGTGAGAAGCGGAGCTCCCTTCCAGAGGGGAGGGCCCTGGTCTTCTGGACAATCCTAAATCTGCTTGGTCAAGTCACGCGAAGGCAACAGCTTCTGGAAAAGACACAAGGGTCTTAAACTTTTCGAACAAAAGCGTAGGACGCGCGCCTCAGTATTTTTCTTGCTTGGGCACGAAGGAGCACACATTTGCGCTCTACAGCTAAATGCGCGGATCTTGGGGCTTTGGAGTCATGCAATCTGCCACTCAGGTTTCCTTCATTCAGTCATGCAATACATCGGGCCCAGGAGTGCACACAGAGTGCACACGGACAGCACACTAAACCAGTTAGGAAACTGGACTTTTTACAAAAGGTGATGCTCCCTCGCACGTGGCCCAAGGAGTAGCCTAACACTCATAGTGCTGGTAGTCTGTTAGTCATATTTTATATAAAACGCACACACACAAATATGCAATTATTCAGTTTGATGAGAGGGATTAAATATCCTCTCGAGGGTCCACCACCTTCTTGACTCCATGATGTTATTACTTTTAACATGTTAATGTCCATACTATGCCAATATATACATAACATAATCTATAATTTATCTCACTGGGTGTTTATACAAATACTTGCAAAAAATAAAAACAAAAAACATGCATTATTACTCTGACTAAATGATCTTACCACAAATCTGACCTTAGCCTGGTGGTACCACTTCCTTATTTCCATGGAGATAGCTAAATTTAAAGCTAACTGTGGAAACACAGAGGAGGCCATCCACCAGAAGAGATACCTAGGGTACCTTCAAAGCTCTAATAGGACAGGATTTATTTTGCACTTTAACAACGATGAGAAATGAGAAAATGTTTTGCTCACACATGACAACAAAGTTTCAATATAATGATGAAAATAAAGTCATACAATATAAAGGAGAACCCAAACACTTGTGGCACGTAGCCTATTCACCTCTTGTCCAGGCTCCCAGTCTTGCATGTGCCAAGTCGGGCAAACCTTAATAGGATTATTTTGAACTGCAGGCTATGACACCTCATGAATGTTGCCTAAGGCCCAACAAAAACTTACAAGCTCCGAGTTTCTGTAATATGAGCAAGAATCACTCAGCAGCTCTCCACGTCTCCTACAGGCCTACAGGACTGCATATGACAAATAGGCTCAGTACTCTCAACCACCGTTCTATCCGTATTAGATCAGAGGCTGGAATAAAACATGGTGAAGGGATGGCTACAATTTATGGGTTAATAGGTCCATATAAAATATTTTATTTATTTTATTTTATTTTTTTAGTAGTAGGGTAAATTTTAATCAATTAAATGTTACGTACTAATAAACATGTCTGTTACAACGTGCTAACATGGTCAGGAACAAGATGGCAATGTCAGAGTGTGGCAGCGTGTATGGGCTGTATAGAGTGTGCGTCAGTGTCTTCATCACGCAATCATGAAGTGAGCACTCAGCACGCACTGCTCGGGATTTGGCAGAATCCCAGTAGATTTGGAGAGCTGTCGTGTTGTGGTGGTGCATTTGCGGGGCATGTGAAAGAGGCTTGGGTGGGTAGGCTGGACTGGGTGTGAGTGTGGGGGTTACCATTGGATCACCTTCTCTTCCTGACCAGGCGTGAACACCAGATTAGTAACTGAGCTAATAGTTTTCCCTCCCAGCTCCACACAAGTCTCCTTGTCTTTTCGCAAGTCTGTTATGTGCTTGACCACAATAACAATAGTTGCGTGCAGAAATATCTCCGCCATCCATCTTTCTGTCACCTCTCCCTCTTCAGCGGAGCACGAAGGTGTCGTAACTATGCACAAATGGGCAAGGCTAAGAAGGACCACATCATAAACCTGTGCATGGTAGAAGAGACATGACCCCTTTTCTTGTCCAATGCCCTTTTGAGGAAACTTGTGTACGTGATAGGAAACTCCCGAATATTTGCTGTTTGCTGATTCAGTTTAGCCTGCCTCATTATTTCACCTCTTTACCATTAACGTTTGCAACAATAGGCTATGAAGCCTGATCAAAACCATTCTTCTCACACAACCTAGTCCCTCTGCATGTTGCCTGCCTTATTTCTTTTTTATTAAATAAAAAGCATAGCCTTACTAGAAATTAATCATCTTATTTTAAGGGACTTTAAAATTAATCAAATAAACAATTAGCCAGCTGTATTGACCTGTTTCCATAGGCTAATGCAACTGTGGCACAATGGACTCATCTCATAGCATCCACCTTGTGGTCACTCACTTGAGTGAATGAGTAAATTGGGGTCATGACCCTAATTAAATGTCTGGCCATAGTTGCACGGTGGCGCCATGGTAAAATGCTTTTTCGCTCATCTCATGCAAGATGCAGTGATCATATTAGGCTAACTGTCATGAAATGACCATGGTCTATAGAATAATGACACTATACAAGTGCTTGTCTTTTCCCCCTCGTCTGCCATTATATCAGTAGCCATTCAGCCACAGTAGGCCGCCGTGCAATTAGTGAACACTGGATGTAAATAAATAGCTATGTATAGCATGTAGACCTAGCCCTAGAGCCGTGTGTTTGTGGGGTCTATGCTTCACTTGCCACTTTCCTAAATCACTATCCAGAAAATGCCCCCAGTTGTCCTTCAAAAAAGTAAATTATAAAGTTTAAATAGGCCTATAATCTAACTTTAATTTAGTGTAGGCTATAATTATTTAGGTTAATTATCAGTTCCTCAATAAGTAGCCTAAAATAGGTAATAAGAAATCCTTTTTCCCGTGGCCTTTCTTTCATGTACAACATAACACAGTAAGCCTACAAGAAGTCTCCAAGAACATATATATATTTTTTTAAACAAATGTTTTTTGGATAGCTAAATAAATATGGCACACATACCAAGTCATGCATGACACAATGTCGCCTAACCTCTGCCCCCACACATGAACAGTATGCGCACCATGGGCACATAACAACATAGGCCTACATGGACCAGCTCAGCTCTTTTCTTTTTGCAGTACAAACCAGCCGCCGGTCGCCAGCCAATCATAACCCGGCAGAGCTCCCGAGGCTTGCTGCAAACAGAGGTCTTACTCGGCTGCAATATTTTGGTCATTGGTTTATAAACAACTTTTTTGTCTTACTGTTGACATATTTAGTTTCGTAATTGTATGTGTCTCCAAAAGAGAAGTAGGCTATACAAAAGTACAAATAATCATACTGCCGTTTTACAAGTGTCTTATAAGCTTTTCTATTATGGAACCCGTTATTTGATCGCATTGAGTGGAGCAGCTGCGACAAAAACAATCTCCGGGTTAATCATTGTGCGTTGCGTGCAGACTCTGTTTGCTCGGACAGAGCCAAGGGTCGGGTGTACAGAAAGAGCAAAGGGAGGTATCGAGCATCATTTTCTATTAAAACAATCATCACAATCTTTTTAGACAACATGCTAAACTGTAGGCTATTAAAAAAAAGAGTAGTCGTGATCCTTATTCCTGCTTCAACGCTCTATACATTTTAGATAATAGGCCTTACTCTAAATAATCGATTTACTGAGCGAATTAATCCAATGTACCAGTCACAACATTATTTGCAGGTAGGGTTTAAG